ATGCTTCCTCGCATTGTCGCGACCGATCGCGATCATTTTTTTATGTTTCAGCGACTCGAACCGAACGAGACACTGTTAACTGGAATGAATGTTACGAATTGTCTCAAACGAATCTAAGTGATGGCGGGGCTTGCGGGTAGCAGATTAGATCTGCGCTTATGTTTAGGTTACTCGTGTAGTCATGCGATATCGCGAGTACCTATGCGCTACACACTTTACACACGGAACTCGATACGATCGTATGACCAGGTCTTTTTCAAGTTTACCGTCAGAGTAATCGAAATAGTGGATTATACGAATTTTGCTTAGCCCTTTCTGTACACGAAAAACTTACTTTACCTTTTTCAGATTATTCTTCGGCCGATCCATACATCTCATCACTTGTTCCGAAAGAATAAAAAAATCAAATCCTCACAGCAAATCCTCACAGCAAATCCTCAAAGCAAATCCTCAAAGCGAGTCCTTGTGTGTGACCTCGCGATCAAAGTTCGCCCACTGGATTCGCATAAAGCCGTATATTCCCCGAAAATAAATGGTAGTGGCGTGTTTACGAGTCCGGATTCCGTGAACCCGCTCCAGCTTTGACATCCAGCTCGTTCGCAAGGACATCGATTCCGTGCACTCTCCTTTCTCTCGTTGAGAACTCAAGCCTTTCCAAGCGTAGAATCTAAATACGAGTTACATAGCTTCGACTAAACGTCGATTACGAACTCAATGAAATGTGCTCGATTCGTTGGTCACAGCAAATAATTACGGATCAATTTTTCTATATCACAGATATTTTAAAGAGTTTGGATCGTTAAAATCAAGTCTCTTTCCATTCGTTACTAGCATTTGCTCGACACAGCAACATTACGTCAAAGTTAATACGAGACGAATCAGATTTCTTGATATGTAGAACGTTAACTGGTAGTACAGTTCATAATCGTCCGTCCTTGGAATACCACGACATTCCTCGGCGACGCGGAATCGTGTCACTCTCATGATCGAGCCAAGGTCAAGACGAGTTCGATCCTCCGCCCTGCTGCACGATTTTTCCAAGAACAGCACCGGGAATAAATTAAACGTCCAGGGTCAGCGAGTACCCATGAGTATTCTTACCCACGCTGGAAAACGTCTAACGGTGATATCTCAAGCTTCTAATTACATCCCAGGTGGCCAGGTCGCTTTATCATAAGCGGACCGACGCTCTTTTTCCATCGATTCTACGCTCGTGCAACTCACGCTCGCTTATGCTTGGGAAAAGTGATCGTGGCCGTTGACTGTCGTCACGCGAGTAATTTATTGGAACCGAAAGGATGCGCGTTGATCCTTAATAACACGCTTTCAACAAGGATCCAAGTGATGAATGCGTTGTGACCGCAATTGGGCCTACGCGCGTTTTGTACTTGTTCCTCGCGAGCTGGGAAAACGACTTTGTCGCTTTGCCATTTTTCGCTACTCGTTGTTCCTGATATCGCTCGTTAAGTCCGCGATTCCTTATTCGTACAAGCAGGAAGAAAAAGGGACATCGGGGATTAGGTGGTATGCAGAACATGGTGCGTTTCTTGTTGAGAGATGATCCTATTTTGTAAACGAGCGTGAACATCGAATTCAAAGCCCTATTCTAACATCCTATATATCAGTTTGCTCCTCCTACTTAATAACTAGGTGGCAGATGTTTATGCGCATTCGTGTTCCTATAAACGCAATCAAAAAACTAGTAGCTAAATATTTCTAGATTTATATCGTTAGTAAACTAACCATGCTGTTCTTCTCATTTCCTGTTGGTCTTTGTACACCTCCAGGCATCTTTTTCTTTTCGAATACTTTATTCATAATAAAAGAGATAGCAATATTATATTGCATACTAAAACCAAATTCTTAAGGATTATTTATATCCTTATGATTAAGGATGAGAACAGCAGACTTAAATATTGTAACTAGTACTTTGAATATTTTATATACTTCTGGATAATATGTGAATAGCGTTCATTTCTGCACCTTTCAATTTCCTATCCTCTGCTCATACAAAAATCCTAAAGAAGAGCAATCGCAATGAATATCTCCACATCAGCACTCGAATCGATTTCCTTTCCCCCCCCTTTTTTTCAAGCATTTCAACCCCTTATTCACGTCTTTCTATTACGTATCAGCCTCCCTTCTACACCAGACATCGTTGAACGATCAAAGCGAGGGGAGAACGGAACTGGTGCTCTCGCGAAAAGCAGGCAAAAGGTCAGCAGCGTCGAAATCGCGATATTCCATTCGTGGACGGTATTTCTCACGGTCTCGTTATCGCGCAAACATTGTGATTTGTTTGCACGAGCAGTAACGAACGGCGATGGAGGCGTGCGACGCCAACCGATACTGCGAATCGCGCGTCGAGCAATTAATTGAATCCCGCGTACACGTGCGTAAACGAATTTACTGGCACGTGCCAGCGGATCGAACGTGCGTTTCGAAAGTCCCTGCAGGGCTCTCTTCCGCTCGATGCACCCGTATAAATAGAAACGGCTGTGTCACGTTCGAACCGAGTCTGCGAATTGTTGGTCGGTCTATTTCTGCGACTCGAGGTGGACGTCTTGGTGTGGCTCACGTTTTTTTGAAATATTTGTAGCGCGAAGGGTGGACAGAAACGGTGACGGCTTAATTGCGGTGCTTTTCGGTAAAAACAGATGCTGGAGGTTTAACGCTCGAGTGAGTTTAGGGGGAGTTATTTGTCGAATCCTTTGAGTAGTTCTTCGGGGAAGGGATTCTGATGTCATTGAATGTTATTAGTACGAGGATATATTTATCGAATGTCGAAGAACATTCGAAAGTTTGTACTTCTTGTTGAAAAAAAGAGAAGATATTTGAATAAATATCAAGAAAGTTACTATAAAAATTATCCATTTTAATTTCTTTTTCATTTGAATATGAATATTTGAATGCGAATGTAAGTTTGAAAAGTTGAATTTAGAACTATAGAGATAGACATCTACCATCCTGTTTTTCGTGTATAAGTTGCATTGACAAAAAATTATATCCTGATATTTCAGCAGCATCTCACGCAGCATCTTCAGAAGCGATATCGATATCAATAAAGGAAAAGATAACCGTGATGCTGACGATGTATCAAGATCGCATAATTATATAATTCATCCTGGACACCGGTCTTCTACCAGGAAGTTATTACGATATCCGATTTCTATGTATACTAAAATCAATACACCCTTTATTGCTTAGAATTATACAAATATTCCTTCTACTACTATTATGATACGAACCAGCAACACCTCTTCTCGAACCACAGCTAAACAAGTTTAACATCCTGCACGCGTCAAGCATGCGAGACGACGAAGCAATCGATGATCTATCAAAAGAAATATGCTCTCAACAACTTCATTCGTTCTACCATGATACTTCTTTCTCTTCGACGAAGAACAAAAATAAGAGTCGCGGAGGAATCGATGCTTCGTGCTCGATGGTTCTATCGGAGACGGCGGAATATCAAAACCAGTCTCACGTGTGGCGAGCCACGGGCAAAAACCTGTGAAAACCACGAGGCTCGGCGAATGGCTCGATAACGACGTTCAGTACCAGCAGCCAAGTGAAATTTTACACCGGATGCAATCCGAGAAACGGCACAATAGAAAATGCTGTCCGCCAGCCTTTTATCGACGTTCCTTGCGCAAAAGCGAACCGTGCCTCTATTAACGAGCCATGCGGGACACTTTCCTGCGCCGCGTTTTTCATTCTCTCCTCTCCTGTCAAGCCAGCCCCAGCCAACGATCGATCGTCCCAGCCATATGGCACGGAACTCGCGCTGAGATTCACCAAAAAGGGTGTTTGTTGAATCGCGGGATGAGAATGTTTCGTATTTTATGTGTTTCGGGAATTAATTGGGAAAAACTTTGGACTTTTCAAGTTGCAAAATGGATCGACAAATATCTGACGAAGTTGATATTGTTTTATAGAATTTTTAAAGTTCGCGAGTTCTATTAGGAAATTTTTAGATACTGCCTTGTGATCGACGCTATTTGCTTTACGAAGAGTAAACACAGTTGCGTGACAAGACATATCGTTGGTGTTATCTATCTATTTTCGGTACTTTCCGCTTAAACGTGAGAATTCGATGTTATTTGACATTCTTCAACGTTATTGAGCAAGGAGTTCTGTAGAATCAGATGTACTGTTCATCAATGGAACGGTATTCTTCGAGCAAAATGCTCGTACTACTTCTAGAAACTGTGTCCATAACGATGACAGACAATCTGCGGTCATGCGATGAGCTGCGCAAAAAATAACCGCTATCGCGCGATGAAATAATTAACGTGAGACTGCATTTTTACTCTATCGAAATTCGCGTCTTACCTCTTGCATTCTTTTATCGCTACATTTATTCCATTATCCTTCGAACGTTTAAAATCACCCGAATCCTGTATACTCTCACAAAAATGTCACCTATGGAAACTTTAAACACGTAAAAACGCATAGAATACGTGAACCTATCGTATATACGTAATAGGTAGAATAAAAATACGAAAAGTATGATATCTTTGAAGATACATGGAATGTGAAGTAAATTTCTAACGGAAGTCTAATAGTAAACAACAAAAGAAGTGTCATAATCAAAAAAGAGGGTAGTTGCACTCGTCGCAGCGTCCTTGCCGCCGCTGCACCCTCCCACGCGCTTGATCGATCAATCGACGACGAATAACGTCGTTCGATCGCGGTGCGTGGAGCGTGTAGAAGCGAGGGCGACTGGTTCGAGCGGGTTTCCGAAAGGAAAAGGCATTCCAGGCCGCAAAGTGGCGGATCGCGCGCTGATTGGAGGACGGTATACGCGGGCCGTTCGCGCGTACGTGTTTGGGACAGGACTGTTGGCTGGCTGGCTGGCTGTGCAGCATGTTCAGACAGGGAAAGGAACGGAGCGGAACCGAACGAACTCTCCGACTTCTAGAGAAAGAGAGAAGGACGCGTCGGTGAGAGTTTAGAGGCGAGTGTCGAGTAGAGCGCGGCTCGAATGGAATGGAATCGCGTGTGTGCTCCTAGATCGTGTTCCGCTCGGGCCGGCGTTCGCGTCAGTGTGCGTGTTGCATACGTGCTGTACCGTGCTGTGCCGTGTGCGCGGGATTAGAAGAGTCGCACCAGTAGGCCACTGGCGCTCGACGCCTCTGCGTCTCTTTTTCCGGCTCGCGCGGCTCCGACCTACCGTAAAACGATGATCCTCGATCCGCTGATGGATATCGATCGCTAGCATCGATTTGTGAATCGATCGAACGCCGTACAAACGCGTTTTGCGGGAGTTTCTCTGGATTATTCTTCCAATTCTTCGATTCGATCAATGGATGTTGACATTTGATATTTTGTAGTTGGTATTAACTTACTTTCAAATGAAATTGTGAACGGTCACGTGTATTCGTGCTTTTGACCATCTCGTAAGATTGGAGGATTTTAATCATCGACTGTCAGGATACAACGAAAGATCGAGAAGGATTTAGAGCGGTCGAAGAGCGGCGAGCACCGTTGCGGCTGATAGATCGCCGTATCCGCTGGCTCGATCTATCGCAAGGCTCGCCCTCGAAGACCGATCGCGTGACGCGAGAAACAACTTTCGCGCTAGCAAATTGCCCGCGCCCTCCGATCCAGCCTCTCCCCTTAAACCGTCTGGAATCTATTACATAAAAAGTATTTGTAGCCTTTAGACAAACTCGCGAAACATTTTTGGAACGAGAGAAGTGTGCTAGTCATTTTACGTTTCAGAGTCGAGTGCGTAGAAACGACTCGCACGCGAAATACTACTCGTGTTTCTAACATAAGTGGAATCCTTGGCGACGGTTTTGAAATAACGAGGCCTTGGAACATGCGAAACAAAACGCGAAAAAGCGAGTAACTCGGGAAAGAACGAGCTCGCAATTCAGTTGTACCGTAATGTAAAATCGAACCAGGCGGAATTGCACGATATTAGGTGTAAACTATCGGTATTGGTTTCTCATCGTGGTACGGGAATGATTGCACGCGCAGAAAAATATTTTTAAACGCGAATGGACGTGCAGATTTTTATTTGGTGCGCTATCATTACGGTGCACAGGAGCGGGTAATATCGGCTTGCAATGTTGTTGAGGATGAGATTGCGGAACGATTGTTTGGGTGGATAACCGCGAATTACGTATAGTGTCGGGGATTTGTGACTCGGCTTCCGATACCATTGCAAGCGCGCAAGTGGCAGAGAACGAGTCGGTTACGGTATCTCGTTATCGTCGCGTTAAAGCATCTGAAAATTTTCGAAGGAAGAACTGGAATTTCGTTTTAGTTTGGAAGTTATTAGCGGAAAGAAGTTGCTAATTCGACGTTGATATTAATAATTTCGTTTGTATGTTTTTGCAAAGAATTAAAGCAAGCAGAAAAATTGCATAATATTGGACCAGGTTAGTGCATCGTTACGTAACATTGATATGGTCAAAAGGACGGTATTTATAAACTGTCTGTCAACAAACAGTTTTGATAAACGAAAAAGTTCCAGTGAGTTTGGAAAGTCTGAAGAGTTGAAATAATTATCTATCAAACTCGATGTCCTAGAAATCCATTTTTATGTTGAAGCTATTAATATCGCGAGGAGAATATGAAACGCGTGAAAATTAGTTCGACGCTTATCTACGAGCGGATCGAGAAGCAGCGTGAGGAACCGGCGGCGCCCCCGGTTCGCGAAATACCCTCGTAACGACGATGACGCGCGTCGAGTAGTTATTTCGGATGTACATCATCGAGGAAGATAGTGGGGACGACGGCGGATGCCGTCTGATCTCCGTCCGTCAGTGCGTCGACGCTGACGGAGCGCGTGAGACATCGTGCCCGGAAAACCGGCGTCCCGACGAAGACGACGTCGACGCCGCTAGCCTGCTGGACGTCAAGTGTTTCCCACGTGTGCACAAGACACCGTATATCCTCAAGAAGTCCGCCTCTCTGGACGAGAAAGGTCGTGAGTCGAAGAAGGATCAGTTCCTAAAGTCTTCTCTTCGTGTCGACTTGAAGCCAGACCGGTCGACCGTCGAACCTGTCGCGTCCCAAGACGAAAACGAAATCTCGCGGAATAAAATAATCGAGGAGAGTGCGATTTGTGTAAAAAACGAGAAGCTGGAAATTTCCATTAAGTTATTAGAAGTGGTGAATTGCGAGAGCGTCTACGATGACCAAGGATACAAAACCACGGTAAACTTTCAGTACAAAGATACTCTAACGAGAGCCTGTAATGCATCGAAACTCGAAAAAGCACGCGGACTGAAGAGAAGCGCGTCCGCGCCCGGAAACGGCTCTTGCCAAGTCTCAGAGAACCAGGATACCTCGACGACGACCAAAGACAGTGACAGCCAAAGCAACTCGAAGGATCGCAAGGAAACCAAAGACTTCGTGTTCGTGAAGAAAAGCCCGTCGAAAGCGTCCGCAAAGGCGGATGGCGGTCAGTTGACTAGATATCGTTCGAGGACGAACAGATCGCAAGAATTCGCTACAAAGACCGAACAGTTGATCGCGAGACGCGGCCAGCAAGATTATCCGGCGCGAAGAGCCAGAGCCTCCTCGTTCGTGATCGAGAGGAAGAAGTATCGCCAGGCTGCAATTACATCCTCGAGGTCCAGCGAGGATCTGTCGAGGTGTTCGTTGAGCAACAACGAGACGACGGAGGCCGATGGAATGCGGAATTGCAACAGCGCCGTGGCGGGCGTTGACGAGAACGAAGGATGCGTCCTGATCGGGGTCCGATCCCTCGAGGAGGGCCCCCAGCTGCCTCTGATTCCGCGACAGGACGACAGGTGTACCAGAAGGGACAGGGAGCGCGCCAGGATTTTGCGGCGGAGAAGAATCAACGGAAGATCGGCCTCGGTGCCTAGGGTGCATGTGAGTTCAGATTTTAAAGCAGTTGACAAGTGCTCTTGCGTTCGCTTTCGCGATTCTTTGTTGCTTTCGCGTGATTAGGTGGATTAAGAGTAGTTCTGAATTCCCAAAAATCTTATTTTACAAACATATCGCATCTGACTTGAGTATATAACGTTATTGTGGTATGTTAAGAGCTTTTTGAATACTGTTCTCTTGATTAAAATTAATTCCAAACGCTGAAGTTTGGAAATACCGTAGTCTCGAGAGCGTTTGAACCAGTCTTTTTCCGAAAAGTAGTCAGTTGAGCGTCTCAAATATTCCACAGCCTCCTCGCTCTATTTATATTCACCGCTTCCTTCGCATTGAACTAGATTTCCATCCACGACCTTCCCACCAAATTTCTCTTTGAAAAACCGGCCAAACAAACTCAACGAAAAAACGAAACCCTTCTTCGAAGAATTATTCCTCTCACGGAACGAAAGTGAAATACGTACATGATACGATTCGATAGTCGGATGATTTACTATGGCCTAAAAACAACCGCAACATCCCCTCGCGTTCCTCTCGTATCGCAATGTAGCGACTCTATGCAAACGTCAGCCGAGGGGAAACAAAGAGAAGAACTCGCTGAATCGAACGATCCTCTCGCGAACGTTAAAAGCACGCCTATCGGTTTGCACGGCGCGTTACTGCTCTCTTCCTACCATTCGTAGCGCATTCTATTGCGCGAGTAAATCACGGCGCGGCATCAACCTGCTAAAATGCATCGCTTTGTGAACCCCCCGTCGCGCTCCGCCGCTGTCACGGATACGATCGCGGTGTTCTTAAAGGTGCAGCCACACGGGGAAGCTGCGAACAACGGTGAAACGCCAGCGTGGTATTTAGACGCGGGCCGATCGCCTCTTGCGAAAGCCACTCTTCGGATATTTGCGTCGGCGAGCGCCTCGACCCGACTAGGAATTTACCTGGTGCGCGCCACGTTGTTCTCCCCCGTGTCGTTTCAACGCGACTACGAACGCTCGATCGACATGCGTGTTCACGTGGGTGAAAATGAATCGGTTGCATGAATCGAGCAAGCATTCAACCTGTTGGGAAATTTTTGTACACCGAGAGAAAGGATGTTTCCGATTCTTGATGGATGATGTGTGCTTTCCAGTCGAGCCATCTCCTTTTTTAGGCGCTTGTATTTTGCCTCTGAAAGTTATTATCCCATGTCCAATAAAGGATACTGTATAGTAAGATAGAATTATTGAGTCACTTGAGATTCAACATCTCAAAATTTAATTGTAATCTTTGCATAGAATAATGAAACTCGTTATATGTTATGACACACTATTAATCGTTGACGAAAGAATGAAAAAATATCGTATAGCTTAGATGCAGTAAGAGAAAATAAAACAGAAAATGGTACAAATATATTCTATCATACCCTAGGCGTGTAAATTCGTTGATAACTTATAGCACTGAATTATAGTGAAATTGCCTTTGATCCTTAGAAGTTTTGATATTAGCAATTTCAATTTTCCTTCCAAATTGAATCGAACGATCTCTCAGCGACAAAGCCCGAACTGTAATTCAAAACGGTCGATGTTTCTTGTTTGAAGAATAGCGCGGAATATCGAAGTTCGACTGAAGTTTCGAGGAGGTTCTAGCAATGGAACTCTACCAGTGTTCGCATTTTGCTTTAAATACCGTGTCTGGTACAACGTCGACGACAGTGGACTGGCATTCTTTTGCCTGTCGCCTATTGAAAAACAATAAGCGTTCCGTATCGCGAGCACGGTGACGCGAGTTACACGTGCGCCCGAAGTGCATGAGGATGATTAACGATTTGTTAGGTACACGCCTAACCTTTGATAACGACGGGCAAACAATTTAACAAGCCTCATAGATAATGCTTCGCCATGCCACGATATATGTGTGTAGGTATAAATTACTCCGCGTTGGAATGTAGTTCAAGAGACCTTGAAGATCGAAATATCGCAACACATCGAATTATACTACAGAGTATACTTTGTTTCCTCGTTTCGTTACGGTACTAGATGTTCTTCAGTGCTTAACGACGACGACTTTTTGCTGCGTTTCAGGGATTATCGATAGTTTACGCGACACAAAGCGCGGTAACAATGATGCAGTAATGAGCACGTTGAACAGAATTAGCATAATAATCTCGCATTAGCATAGCTCGCCTTGAGCGTGCAAGTATTCGAGCGTTAAAAGACCGTTGCCCGGTAATTTTGAGGCGAGGAAAACAATGGTGGTGTCGGTCAAAGGGAATTTCAAGTTTGATTCAACACGCTGTTCCTCACGGACCACCTTCGTTCCGAGTTATCTTTTCTATGCAACGATTACGACAGAGTAGGTTTATCGGTTGTTTACCGTGTCATGAATCTAATTCGCTGGGAATTTGAAGATATTTACGTGCTCCTACGAAAATTGCCGGCCACCAATGGCAGAAATGTTAATAGCACCAGTGGTTCAGCGAGTCGAGGTAAACGATACCGAAGGCTTAGGTCTAACGTTGCGGTCCAGTTCGAAACCACTTTCGTTTTTTCTTGCTCTCCCCTGTTAGCCGAAAGGAAACGACAACGATTCTTTTACGATCGCGACAATGCAAGGCGTGGCGTCTCTAGTTTGCAACTAGCGAGATTGCGACGACGATCGCTTTTCAAATGTCAGAACGATCAAAGAGGATGGAAATTTCCATTTAAATTGCAGAGATAGTGTATGGAGTTAATTATTTTCAGAGTAAACTTTGTAAGGAATTGTTCTGTAAAGACTCAAGAAGCTCTCCCGTAGGCATTAAAGATTAATCAAAATGTTTCTAAAAGTTTCTTGATAGACCCTGATGACCAAACGAAAGATTCTGTATCTGACACAATTAACCATCGCCAATGCCGCCAATGACGGTAACTTAGTGTACGTGGACGGCTTCTCTGTTGCACTTGTACGACGTCTGACCTGAATATATATCCTCGTTGCAGCCGTTTTCGCGCGATAGATCGCCTTCAATTTCGGCTTAAGAGGATTTTCAAACGGTCAGTCTTCTAAGTAAGCTTGAAATAATTTCTTCCTGGAATTTTACATTAAGCTATCACGCTCGAAAATTGCACTGCTGTCCGGTTATCTGAACTGCTTTAAACGTTCTTGTCACTACCAGTTTGGCACTTTTTCCTTGATAACCAAAACTCGTTTCAATTTCTGTTTTCTAACTTTTATCGAATTGGTTAAAAAATCTCCGCTGTTGGTAAACACAGGATATGTTTATCGATATCATATGACAGGCGTGAAAATTTGTCTGCTACGTAACACCGTGTATTTTCGTTTTGTAGTTTCGTTCGTGTAATATTATTTGCAAAATTTCGTTTTCCATATTAACAAATTTACCACTTTGATCAATTATCAATGAACTCTCAAGAAAAAAAAATTTCTGTTAATAACAACGATAACAAACGATCGTAGCTTAATGCTTGAAAGGAAATTCCTCCAATTCTTGCTCATGCCTTGATTACACAAACTCGTGATTCTTTAATTTAGAATCTCCGTAAAGTTTTCGACCACGAATGTGTTAACGCACCTCTCAAACTGGCGCGCGATAAGCAAAGTGCTTTCAATGAGTATTCGCAATTGGGTCTGTCTCCCAATGAAGGTCGTCTTTATTGAGCAGCGTCGATAACGAACATCGATCGAATGAATACCGGTGAATACTGGTGAATCGCGAGGAGAGGTAGATCGAACCAGGAACTGATCAATGCGACGTAACGACACTCGAGTGGAAGAACGGGTGTGACGTAATGAAGCTACTTTTGTCGATCCCTGTTTTCTATGATTTTGGAATTAATGGATACCTGGTTTTCAAACATTTCTTACGACAGAGGGAACTAGGAAACACGTATGGAGCTGCGGATAAATAAAAGTATCGACGTTCCGTGAATGCGTGTTTGCGTAACGCCCATTGGGAGGAACGTTGATTTATACGAAGTCCGACACGTGACGCGAAAGAAAATACTCGCAGACTTTTATTTATCAGCGAATTTGGAGCAGAAACATCCAGCGTGAGCATCGATGAAGTCGAATCGATTGTTGCACCAGGGTTGAGTAGGGTTTGACTGTTGCTTATCGCTGTTTTTGTTTTCTGGTACAAAATGGAGGATGTACGTGACTGTCGTAGTACTACGTTGAAAAGTTCTGGGCGTGGTTAATTGAAACGTAGTTAGAAATTATGTCAATGATTTCTCATTTCTATTCTCTACTGCGTATTATGTACTATTTATTGTTCTAAACTACCATGTTAGGAAATAGTAAGTTACATCGTTTTATGAGTGTAGCATCACGTCGGATATTGCGATTTATAAAAACACGTAATGCTACGTTGTTGATACTGAAATTGCAATCGTGTAAGGAAGAGTACTACATAGTACTCCTTTTTCAGCTCACTGTAATTGCTAATCACTTCGTAATCGAATCGGTGCATCGATCGCATAACCATCAGCTACAGATTTCTCCGATCGATGGTTCCGTTCGCACCGGAAGCCGGCTTTCCCTTCGCGACACGCAACGCCTGGAACTTCATTGGTATTCGCTCAAACTTTTAGCGTTGCGACAGAAAGGGGGTCCTTATCGGGCGAAACGATGCTATCGAGTATGATTCTTGGAGTAGAAAAGAAAGAAGAAAGAATGTCCGTATTTTTATTCATAATCGCCGGCGAACGGCGAATGATTTCGAATCGTAAGCGTTCCTCGAACGAGATAGGAATCGAGCCCTTGGAGACGCTGACGTTCGACAACTCATAACGAGTATCGAATCGAATTTCTCGCGATTATGCGCGATATATATGCGTCGAACTTCTCGGAAGCTATCGACGTCGGAGCGTGCCCGTCGAGAGAAATACTGCGAGCTCGACGAGCCGTGACGGAACGCTTTTGCTAAATAATACGCATGAAGGCGCAGATAAAACGTTCGCGTTGAACGTACCACCGAATCTCGACTTAACGACGTTACGTAATTCGGTCTCGGTTCC